AATTATCGGAGAATTTCACTAAGTTGGACTAGATTTTAACAGGCTGTCATAGCAGTTAACATTTTTAGCTTTGCCGCCTTTAGTAGTGATGGGTCAATTCATCTAATGATTGAAGATACAAATGAATTGGAACTTTTAGTTTATCGAATTTTTAAATACTTAGCTTAATTAGTTTGTTATTATCTTGTTTTTGCAGCAAAGTAATCACAGAATGAAAGAATCACTCCTTGAAGTTAGTTTAATGGAAACAAGCAAGTTTAAAAAAAATGTTACATAACACCTTTATCCACTTGTCTCTTCGATTGATTTTCATTCATTTTTCGTAAGATAGCTGTATTTCCAATATACGCGTCGAGCTCGGGGCCCCAGGCCAGAGCAAAATCCGGGACCCTACTCTGCTGTTGGGCAAAAAATATTTATAAACGTCGTGTAATTTTTGGGAGTTAGGAAGCCCCCATTAAGGCGGGGCCCTGAGCACGTGCTCATAGTTTCTAGCATATGTTGTGAAGTAAATTTTTTATAATGAAAACGTACAATCTATGAAAACCAAAAATAAACTAACTCTAAACTACTTTTCGGGGTCTTGTATGCGAAGGTTAGTACTTTAATTTAGACCCTTGCAACCTCAATAATAATAATAATAGAGTTTTCAAACATTTCCAATTTTTCACTTTTTTGGGGATTAAATCGCTTATAATTTGAAAAAGGGTCTACTTTATATGAGGGTTTCTAAGGATCTTTTCTTTCAGAACAATAATAAAAACATGAAAAAAATGTCCGGAGTGAAACAACACCTTTATGTATTTTTTCAATCGTTCAAACAAATTTGCACCGAGAGACTGCCCGCCAACTTCTTGATTCATGTTAAGGAGGCACCAGATTTAATTATAAAAAAAGGATCGAACGCGAGACATGCGCCTCGTCTAATATCTTAGCATCTGTTTAAAAATGATCACTGGATATTATGGAAGTCATAAATTGGTCAATTTGGAATAATTAATTATAGTAGGCAAGCAAATTCTCCACTTTTTCCTTAAATTTTCTGCTAAAGCTACGAACATACAGTACCGACTATTGACCTGTAAATTATGCAGTTGCTCTAGTTGTTACATTATTTTGATTGAGGAGTCTGAATATCACTGAAAATAAGCATGGAGGTATATCTGCCAATCCGATTTTACCAACTATTATAGACGGCCATGTTAGCTGAAAACAAAGAACACGTTAAAAAATAGTTGGCCTTCCCTCCGTATCGAACTTGGTACATCCAGAACTGGCCAATTGACCGCTTTTTGTCCCTAAGGGATCGAGATTGTGGAACAATTCACATGATGAGGCTATCCCAATTCCTACTAACCTTAGGCAGTTCAAAAATCGAATAATCGTATTTCCTTGAAGCTATTGATAGCGGCCGCGGTGCACTGGTATCTAAGCTTCTGCCTTCGCGGCTGCTTCGGTATACAGAAATATTTGGTCTCCACTACAAATAGTATGATGTTGGTAAGTACACTGAATTATCCCAGTAATCGAGATCTGAATGTCCAGTAACATGACACCATAGAACAGAAGGGTGGCAGGCCATATACCGTATTATGATTCACGCATTCTGCGTCTAAAACAAAGATAAGTGAGTGCATAGTGCATGCATCTACCGACCAAAAGGGCATCCCTCATACTTTCGTTGAATTAAAAATCTGAACAAAAGGGTGATAAAATCCATTAAAAATATAAAGAAGGGCCGGCGGCACAACGCGACATAGCTATAATTCATTTAGACGGGATTCAAAGGGATAATTTTATATTTTTAAGGGGGTAAAAACGCTCCGCAACGAGTACATGCACAGATGCGCGTATGCAAATTTCTCGGTCCCCAGATTTAAATTTGAATATGTTTCCGAACTGAGCGGTCGACTGGGATATTCGATGGCCCCTAAAAGAAACATTACCAGAACTTGTTTGGTAAGCACTACATGACAGTTGGCCGAATAAATCGGGACGTGATATTAAAAATTTTAGTCATATTCATATAGGTTTAATTTTTCATTTTGGTCTCTGCCGCGGCCAAACTGGTCGGGTTCCAGGAAAGCCGATGTACCAGTCGCGGTTTTTTCGTGACTTTTTCGTTATTTTTATGCGTTTGTTTCGATGTTATGGGGTTCCTGCACGGCACATTTGTTCGAAGATGATTCGAGAACGAGACCATCCGACAAGGTGGGTCCAGCGGACACACTTTTTAATCCACTATAATTTTGCCTATTTTGGTGTCAAAATATAAATAACTTTATACTAAAACTTTTCATCACCTATTAGCTGATAAAATCATAGTATTTCTATCTTCTTTTTATCTATCTGAGGTGGAAAACAACAGACTTACATCACAATGGATTCCTATTGAATTTCGATCCTGCAAATTAATTTCGATGATCGAAATTCAGTTAGAATTAGGCAAAAAGGGTCAAAGGTGGTCTAGTTGCCAGGCTTCGTTTCCCCACCGCTGCTACTACTATTACTGCAGGGCCTTGGATGGCTAGAGCGCTTCTGTGTTGGAAGGATATCAAGGATGTAGAGCGGTCTAACAAGACGAGCTTTCATGATTCTACTAATCAAATCGTCCGCCAAATCTCAACCATGTCAAAAGGCACAACTTCCACGGGTGCCGAGTATTGTTGCCAGAGGACTGTCCTTTCGTTAGGGCAGGGAAGACATTTCTGGATCGTACTTGTCCAATGGGCGGAGAATATCGACTAATTGTATGGCGCTGTTTGACTGCTCGACCCATTTAGTCTGTTGTTGTGCATGTTTGTAGCTAAATTTTTTCCACAGGGGCTAATTTGTGCGGAACATAATCCTTTATGAACTGTTGACAGCGTTGCGTGCAAAGTATACAGTCAACCTACCTTACGCCATTTCATTGTTCTGTTAATGGCACTATCAACAATTTCTAATTAACGTGTTTATAGCAGTAACGGTAATCCTCTTTATATATGAGGCTGCTCTTATAAGGAGAACAGTTTATGAACATAAGTAATCTGTTCTTGTATAGTGAATATATCGATTTTTTAAACCAAATATCTAATATTGTATTACACAATTAGACAGACCTTTCCAAAAGACGAAAACTGATTTAACGTACCGTTTTGATGATTAATTGTTGAGTATAAGGGATTCAATATGCAAAAATGCTCAGTTTTGGCAACCTGACAGTTCGTCATTTTTAAAGATAGTGATTTCATATTTCTGGGTTATAAAATCCTCGTAAGTAACATCAAAGTATCACATTACTCCATATTCCATTATTAAAACGTTACAAGATAATGTTCAGAAATTTTCAACTGGTATTCTTATGTTAAAATATAGTATTGATTGGTCAATTTCATGCTCAAGAATTTCAGCTTACTAACCTTGACCACACAATAAGCAGGGACTTCCTGAAGAGTACCTTATGTACATAGTCACAAATTAATGTAATCAGACATTGCTTATCTAGATTAGAACTAAGAAAGCACCGGCAAAGTATTAAGCGTAGTTACTTGGAATGTAAATGTAAACTGCCACCGTTTCGAAAACAGCACTAACAAATATTTGCCATGGCATCAAGCAAATCCTTAATTTGCGGCAATCTCAAATAAAACACACCTTTCTGCTCTTCCGACTCCAACATCGCCCGCCTTTTATCTGCCCTCTAGTCGTAAATCCCGTTCAGCCACAGATCTTAATCTCACCAAATTAAGCAATAAAATCTAAATTAATTTTTAATTCTTACTCAAACTCGTCGGCTGCGGTGTTCAAACATTCCAGTTTAAATAAAATGTTATCTTTGTTAAGCGATGAGCGTTTCTGCAATATGGGATATTAATAAATTAATCAACGGCTATGATGGCGTTATGTTTACTGTTGTATGTACATTATTGGGTTTTGGTTTTAATATAAATAAAATGTGTCACCATTCCCGTTTGTTTACATCCCATCATGCCGGATTTAATGTATCCAATCTTTTATGAATTTCAGATTTCTTTCAGTTTCAGAAGTTTTTAAATAATTGGGGGGAAATGAAACAAAATTGGTGTATATCTATTATCTATTTTGGGAGTATTTTGGGAATGATAAAGCATCCAAACAACAGGAAGTACGTATACAAAAAATATTAATGTGGATCATGTGGACCGTGTATTTAACTGACAAGAAGAAAATAAATAAATACTTATATGGGCTAACAATAATCTACGTGTAGTTTGAACAATAAAAGATTTCCTGGTCCAAACTAGGCTAAAACTGGGACGCTTCGATGCTTTTTACCCCAGATATAAAAAGGTATGCTATATTTTCTGTATTTTTATAAAACCAGTTGACTAGATAATTTCTTAATTAGGTTGGATATTCGATTTGTATAATTGAGCTAAATACTAAATCTCACAGAAATACTGTTCTGTATTGATGACCCTGAGGTTAGTAGAATACGACATTCATACTGCATAAATACTGTTTAAGACCACACAATTTCTTATACAAGATTTGGTTCAATTTCTTGAACAAGATCTTGAATGAAAAATTGTTTGCTGTCTTTAACATGCTGTTTTACATTCAAACAATTTATTGTTCAAGAAATAGCTTGGGATTCTACGCATTGAGATTCTGTCTGTCTGCAAATGTCAAAGTTTTCAGTGTTACTAACAAAGTGTCACCGAAATTAAAAAAATTAAAAACAAAAGGATTTTGAGTAGGTAAAAATAATTATATATATATATATATTTTTTTTTTTGGGGTATCTTATCTTGCGAAGAAAGTGGTGGACAGTCTCGCAAACAAACGAACAGATTGGCAAGAGAAGTGGCTGAAAAAATGAGACGAAGGCTGCGAAGTGTTGAACATGTTAAGAGAAGAACTATTGCTTGACGACCCAAACAGATACAAAAACTTTTTAAGAATGGGCAATGAATGTTTTAATAAATTGCTGCGTATGATTCTACCTGATATTGCAAAGCAAGATACAAACTTAAGACAATGTATAGTTGCAGAAAATAGATGATATTATCAGCATTGAGTCCTGTGGAAAAAAATTATGACACCTTTGCTTCTAGGCATCAAAGTACCATAAGTCTCATTGTACCAGAGGTCGGCGAAGCAATAATTTCAAATTTAATGAAAACATGCATAAAGGTAACATATCGGGGGATATCATGTATCTTTGACTAACTATTATATATTTTTTTTAGCTTCCAAGTAGTGCTGAAGAATGGAAAAGAGTAGCAGATGAGTTCTACATCATGTGGGATTTCCCTTTCTGCTTAGGAGCTTTAGATGGCAAACATGTTGATTTTGAAGCGCCTAAAAATGTACGCTCGTTTTATTATAATTATAAAGGACGAAACAGCATAGTTCTCCTAGGACTTGTAGATGTCAACTATAAATTTGTATATGTTGATGTAGGTGTAAATGGCAGGGTTAGTGATGCGGGTGTTTTTAGAGAAAGCAGTCTCAGAACGGGAACTGACAGAATTTTCTACTATCCTACAACAGATTTAGAATTCTCAGAAGAACAATAAATTTAGATCCACAAAAGGTTGAGACAATAACACGAGCATGTTGTATTCTGCATAATTTTCTCACAACACATAGTAAGCGTTATACAGGGTGGCGCATCGAAAACGAAACAGACGCATTTACTGTCAGCACAGTTTTTTTTTGAAAAACGCTCAGACCCATCGATTTTGTTTTCGAGGGGGACACAAGTTTGGCAAAAAATCACGTTAGCACATGCAGCCCCCTAAGCGGGGCTGACACCACCCCCAAAATCATAAATCGAAAGGGGGGTCGAGTGATACCTTATTTTAAAGGTCTTTCAATTCCCTTTATAATGATATAAAATTAATGTACTTCAGTTCAGTAGTTTTGAAGATTTATGGATTTAAAGCTTATATAAAACTAGTACATCATTAGTGGAGATCAATACATTTGGCAGCAAAGTAATTTAAAAATGAAGAATGAACTGACCCGTTAGGCAAGTAAATGTTGAAAATGGCCACCATGACTCTCCATGTAATAATAAAGATTTTGCTCAAAAGGTTGCCGCACATTTTGCAATATTTGAGGAGTAATTTGAAGGTACTCATTCACAATTCTTTGTCGCAGGTCCTCTAATGATGTTGGCTGAGTAGCATAGATTTTGCTTTTCAAATGACCCCACATAAAGAAATCCAAAGGTGATAAATCTGGCGATCTTGGGGGCCATTCAATGGCACCTCTTCTACCAATCCATCGATCAGGAAACGTCTGATCTAAATATTGTCGAACACGTAATGCGTAATGTGGTGGGGCACCATCCTGTTGGAACATCAACCTATTCGCAATGTACCGCCGATCATTCTGATTTTCAATTATGGCTGTTAATGCAGGATCTATGGCGTCTTCCAGTAATTCCAAATACATTTCACCGGTCAAATTTCCAGGTAAGAAAAAAGGACCAACTAAATGATCACCAAAAATACCAGCCCAAACATTTAATTTTTGTGTATGAACCTCATGATAAATTCTGGGACTAGAATCGGACCAATATCGGCAGTTATGGCGATTTACTACGCCATTTAAGAAAAAGGAACATTTGTCGGAAAAGCAAGTGTTGAATAGAAAATGTTCATCGTTTATAATTCGTTCACTCATATCTTCACACAATTGTAATCGCCGATCAAAATCGTCTTCATTAAGTTCTTGTACCAGTTAAATTTTATACGGATGAAAACTATGGGCCTTTAGCTACAAGTTCTAGAACATGCTTTCGATGAACGTTACTGTTCTCATGTCGCTTATTAAATATTTCGGCAGTTCTATTAGCGTACTGATTATTTCCGAAAAAATTTTCGATAATTTCAACTCTTTCTGCTGTGGAATATACCATGGTTAATTTATGTAATAAAGCGTTACAAGTTATTTTAGCAACAAAGTTTGGTCAAATCAATCGCAAACTATGCACTAACCTATTTAAAATAAGTACGAGATATTTCCTTATCTTTCTTCGCGGAATAACTTTTTTGCCACAAAAAAAAAAACGCTCCAATAGCTATTTTCAACAACAAAATGATAAACAAACCATGGGCGTAGTGAAGAAAAGCATTTACTTATTAAGTAAATTCTTTTAGTCAAATTTCTTCTGAAAGTAGTACAAACTAATCTGATGTACCAATTAAAGTCTACTTTAAGCTTTAAATCAATAAGTCTTCAAAAGTACTGAACTGAAGCTCGCGTATTTACATCATTATAAAGGGAATTGAAAGACCTTTAAAATAAGGTATCACTCGACCCCCCTTTCCATTTAAGATTTGGTGTTACCCCCGCCCAGGGTGCTGCACGTGTTAACGTGATTTTTTGCCATTTTTGTGTTCCTCTCGAAAACAAAATCGACGGGTCTGAGCGTTTTTCCAAAAAAAACTGAGCTGCCAGTAAATGCGTCTATTTCGTTTTCGATGTGCCACCCTGTATAGAAATCGATAATGATAGCTGTAACTTAGAGCGCCTCTCTCAACAAGGAGGAACAAAATATGCTTCTGAAACCAATTATGCAGATATTTCAGTACTACTGGAGGAGTGTTTTTTTCAAAATAAGGCTATAGGAATTGATTAAAAATGTACATAAATTTTGAATGTTTTCTCTTAATAATTTTTGTAATTATAAATAAACATCTTGTTATATGTCATTTATGATTTTTTTTAATTGTGCTGCCACAAACTGACCAATGATATCATCTGCGGTGGCTGTAGCAGCAGTTCCGCCTTTCTGCAAAGCTGCAGACGGGCTACCTAGACTAGCAGATACGTCTTTGAGGACCTGAATTTCAGATGACTCTTTTTTTCATTCTCTTGGGTGTGCTGGTACCGCTCCTTGCAGATGATGTTCCTTGCTTCTGGGTGCCACTTGAGCATGGCCTTTTCAGGTCTTTCTGTGACTGGTGATCACCAACCTCGTAATGTTCCTGGAAATAAATGCAATTTTGTCCATAAGTTTTTAGAAGCATTTTGAGTGCAAAGCAATATATTTATAACAGGTTTGAAATACAATTTTGATTTATAATTCACCGGGCACAATTTTTAAAATGCCATATTTTTTCCTCATCTGAAGGTGCTCGCTGAGAAAATTCAGCCTTTCATAGTACGATAGGGAAGGCTGATACACCTATAACATATATACAACACCTTGCTTATTCAGATATCCACTTGGAATAATAGTGATCAAGTTTTTAGTCCGCTGCAAACCTTACCTCCTCCTCTCCCATTCCTGATTGAAGAGACTCTAAAACCTTTCTACGCTCCTTGCGCATAACTTTTCCTTAAACCCAGAAATTTCTTCTGGACTTGCTCTCTCGAGACATTTGGTCGTACATCCTTTAACGCTTCCGCTATGGCCATGCTTCTTTTATTTTTATCATGGTAGTCAGGATGCTTGACTATATACCGGTACGTATGTTTTTCGTATAGTTGTATGAGGAGGGCAATTTGCTCGCTGGACCAAGACATCCTTAAATGAATATCAGTTAATACAATGATAGGATCGAGTCGTAGATGCTATTTTCTTACATGCTTAAAAAGAAAGTTGATATTGATTAACAAAAATGAAAAAAAGTCACTATCCAGACGACGCGCACAACGAAGCGAAAGCAAACAAGTGTACAAGTGAGGTGAGGTATAAGCTTGGGGACGCTATGATAACTGCGCATGTGCCGCGCCTATAAGTTGAATGAAAAATAGAACATGTTCCAGATTCCAAACAATTTCTTGTTCAATTTCAGCTTTTCAACCAATTTGCTGTATGATACTACACAATATATCTTGAACAAGAAATTAAACCAAATCTTGTACAAGAAATTGTGTAGTCTAAAACACTCTTAAGGAAAATTTCCAATGCGTTACAGTGTTATTGAAAATATTCTATCTCGGCAAGGTAGCATGTTTGTAGCCAACCATTTTTTGAAGTGTCCGGTATGAGCATCGTTCTATGTAACCGTTGAACTATTAGGACAGTCCTTGTCTATTTCAGGAAAACAATGCTCTGCAAGTGTTGACATTCTTTACCCTTGAAGCAATTAAATGAAAACTGATTTTTTAATTATTTCTATAATTTACCATGTCGGCTGCTATCACTCCCACGTCGCGGAAGCGAATATCTTAATTTTGATAAATCCAATAAGTTGTATTTCTGTCGTGTATGCTGCAATTCCATAATTGTGTTTTGGTGTTGGAGATTACTGTGTCCTCGATATTTTCAATTGTACTTCCGGCAATGACGTACATCAAAATTTAAATCTATAAAATGTACATGCAATATAGTTGATATTAGTATTTTTCGGTATAAAGTTAATTTCTGTACGAGTTTACGAAATTATGAAAATATAAACCTGTAGGCTTGTTCAGGTAATACTAAGGTAGGACTAGCAGGGCATGGCTAAGATAAACGTTTTTACAAATGGCCGGAACTACAGCACGCTTAGCAGCAATGAAATCGGCTGCAGCCTTTTTGCATACTAGGTATTCGAAATGACTCGAACTATAGTTACTATATAAATAATATTGGTAAAACAATGATTTACGGAGACCACAGATATTTCACGTGAAAAATATAAAAAATGATGGAATGGGATTTGTTTAAATTTTCAGTTTACCTGTTGATGCTCATTTCTGTGAATTAGTTTTTTTTATGAAAATGGAAATATGACAAAATATCAAGCTTCTTAAAACATATTGAATATTATAGGGGTTACCAAAGCGGTCGATTTCATTCAAATTTTGCAGGAACATGCTTCAATATAGCAGATATTGGAAGATATTGGATTATGAGGCGTTTCTATAAAATGAGAGCAAACGCCAGTATTTCCTGTTAGCATGACAGTATTTCACAAATAGATAATCTTGCGTAATGCTGCAGGTTAATGTTACTACATGAAATAATTACCATTACAAATTGAATGAACATCATTTAGCGCTAACAGATGTGTAACTAGTGCGACATCTCACACGAATACTACAAACTTACAAACTTTTCCCGCATTTCAATTAAATACTCATAATTTAATATTAACGTAGAAAGAAATGAAGTTAACAAGTCCATCGAACGATGTAGCAAATGTCCATTAAAAAGTAATTAAAGGAAAAAACACCGGCTCGCATATAGCAAATACGGTTTTTCAATCATAAACTGGTTCCATAGCAATGCAATGATTTTGCTTGTAGGCATATATTCAGACGTTGCGTACTTGTATTTACCGACGAATCATTGGCAGTGAAGCAATAAAACAGTGTGCATCTAGTCAGCCATGCATATAATTACTAACTGCTGTAGTTCTACGCTATTTAGATGCGTTTCTAGTGGTTTCAAATGGAAATTCTTTCAGAACATGAACACTCATACGACAAGAATGGTATTTTGTTGATGAAGTGCTTTTTCTACTATGATTTCAATTTCAAAGTAATTATTAAGTTAGGCATAGATGATCGGAGTAGAAAAGAGGTTATAACAGCTAAATTAGTGAAACTTTGATTTGATACGAGCTCATTTTTT